GATATTTAAATGATGATTGATATGAGCATGTTCAATCGATTCAATTGAAGAGCGTTTGATTATTCATGGTTACAATTGGTTTAGCAGATAATATTCATACCCGAAGCATCATGATATCGTCGAATATATCGATGATTGAGAAGTGCTAAGCAGAACCTTCATGGGGTGGCGGGAGGGGGGGAGGTATTGTCATATCAATTGTCACTGAACAATTATCGATTAAATCGACTGCTCATCAATATTCAATTACATAATCTTTAATTAAATTTACTAAGCTCAATTTTTAATTGAATGATTTTTAATTTCCTTTATTTATGTCAATCTTCAGTTGAATGGTCTTTAATTGAACTTGTTGAAATAAATTGTCAATAAAATGGTCTCCAATTGAAAAAGTTATTAATTATTTGTAACTTTGATTGTTTGTTTGAAGAACGCGTTGGTGCTGAACATTGGTGTGAATAAATTCTGTGACAAATCTCTACCGAGTGATAAATACCGAGTGCTTCAAGAACAACAGAGTTCTGTGAACTAAAGAAACTTCCACGATCCGTCGGTGTGCATTTATTTTCAATAAGAATTAAGATAATAACGAGGAGAGGAATGTGATATTATTCTTGCTATTATAAAACGCGTTGCAAGAAACTTAAGTAATTAAGCTACCCTTTTTGACGTGGTAACTTAATTCAGCTTACCTCTGCCTCTTGGTAAGATTGGCGAAAAGAAGGGTATAATCCAAACCGAGCCAACTAACGGCGAATTATTTGTTCGGAAGCAGGGAACCAAAACTCATTAAAACTTAGCAAATGACGTCATTCTAATTTCTTACGCTAGTTGTAGTACAATTTAAAGCCCAAGTTCTTCGAGCATCTTGAAAATATCTATCGGAAAACTTTCTTTTTGCCCTCTAATTTATTTTCAATCTGATATTGATTCTCTAATTAATTTGAAGATCCCACATGTAATACGATTGTATCTATAAACATTCTTATATTTTATATTTTATATCATATATCTTCCTTTTTTATTACCTCTACATTAAGATGAGAAATTTATAATAGCAAATATTTATTTTCAATGGGTCTAATAACATATTTACTTTAAAATTAAAAATTTTCCAACATAAAATATATACGGAAAAATTATTGTACTAATAATTACAACACTTTTATAATCTTAAACTATACAGAATTATGACCAAAATTATGATATGTTTGTTTAAAAAATGTTATACATTTTTTAGTATAAAATTATTGTAATTATTTGAATGCTTCTTATACCGCTAAATTTACTATAGTATATTTCTATAGTAATTTCACAGTATACTGCAATTTCACAGTATAATCCAGCTTTACCAGAAACATTATAAAAAATATAATTTTAACATGATTTTTACTACAATATTTTCTCCGTATATATTGGTATATCTCTCGTTTTATGATCTCTATAGTATTAGTGTAGAGAAGAAATATCTAAAAAATAAAAAATATTTATTTGGTGAATATCAATAATAGTTTTGCTTTAAAATGAAAAATTTTTCTCAATATATAAAATGTATAAAAATATGTATATTGGTATATCTTTCTTTTTTATTACATCTCTATATCAAGAGGAGAAATATCTAAGAAAAAAAATATTTATCCGGTGGACAATAATAATATATTTATTTGTATTAATATACATACTAGGGTGAGAAAAAATTTTATTTCAAATAAGAAAGTATACATTTTCTTTAAAAGACTACAGTTTTTCATGGAAAAGATGATTGTTTATTCTATTTAAATAAAAGAATTTCGACTTAAGTAAACATCTTATTAATACTCGCCGAATATTTTTTATCTCTTATTCTTTCTCTCACTGTGCGTTAGTATAATGCAGCTTGGAAGGAAAATAGCGTAGAGTGTAATAATACGAGGGGAAAACACTCATGTGAGAAACGTCATAAAAATGGATGGATTCCTATTACAATAGAATGACGAAATCACGAAACTTTTATCGGAAGCCCGCTTATGCGGCGCCCCACACATTGAGAAGAATATCTGAAATTCAATTTAAAGGTGATCTCTCGCTTCTTCGCGAGAAGGGAGACTTGATAAATCTTATTTACATCCGTGCGCACATTAAATTTACATATACGTGACTCATGTTTCGGCACTTCTTATGACATATACGTGCGTAGGAAGGAATCTATTGTAATCGCGCGTTTACGAGCGTCAAATAAAGGAAGTTTAGTCAGAGATACTGGAATTACGAATTCTAATTAATTGAACTGCTTTATTGTATCAAACACGACGGAGTTAATAATAGACCGAGTCTATCTCGCTTTTCTCCAAACAATTTGTGAAGTTATTCTCTCTTCGGCTCGTGCATGCTTATAAAATTTTGCAAACTTGACGACAGGTCGCGGAAGCGACCCGTCAGCGCTCACATACTCGATCATTATTACTGTCGAACTTACTGGAGAAGGAGCACTCAAGGCATATCGCGACATGTCTGCCTTTGTTTGGCAGCTCTTACTAGGCGGAGCCTCAACCGTAAGTTGAAGCAAACAAGCTTTCATCTATTTAACCGGAATAACAGCTGCCAATAAGTACGTTGCTTGCAATGTAGACGGACATATTTGCTCTAAAGGACGAAGGAATTTTAGTCGCCGGAAAATTCGCGCCTGACGTATTTTTTCTGAAAACTGCTATCTCGTTACGGACCCTTTTTCACATAACGGAATTTTGTAGGAAAAAATTTCTTTCCTTGACCCGTCAAAATGTACGTTGAAAATGTCGTGCACATAAAACGCATTTTGCTCGAGCATCTGGCAGAAAAATTCAAGCTAAAGTACACGTGGCCTGCAATATTCGCTAAGCGAGAAAACACAAAAAACACGGCACAAGTATTCCTATATTTATATTGTTACGAGTCACCATATTGCACAAGCACATCTGACTCTCTATCGCCGAAAATACAATTAGCTATCGGTTAAATTATTCCAATGGAAAGTATAGCGAAAAAGTCGAGGTAATTAAACGGTTAATGTTCTTGGGGAAGGGCTTTCCTTTCTCGGTTACGGGAAGAAGTAACTACAGGTCCGCAATATGACGGCAATTTCTATAACAGCAATTTTATTTTCATCGAGTGCCTGTTACGCTAAGAAAATTCTTGGCTAGAATACCGTTGCTGTCGATGGAAGAGAAAAAGGTAAAAGACAAAGTGAGAACGACGGCCGGGAGCACACTAAGGAATAAAGTAGCTCGCCCTTAATTTCCACTGACTAGTCAAGATTTACCGCACTTATTTCCACGATATCCCCGATATTCCTGCATCGAATCGATCTCCCACAATTGCCATAATTAACATTAATAATTTACAAAAAAAGGAATGTGAAAAATTGCATTTTTCTTTCATCTCTCAATTTTATGTCTTTGCAATTTCGTTATTACACATTCGAATTGTGTGGATATTATTACGTATGTCTCGCAATACGAGGGCAATAGGATGAAAAGTTCCGAGCCTCATATGTAGATAACTCTATTATGTTCAATATTTTAATAGTGTTGCATAATTTCATATGCTTATATTCGAAGGTTCAAGTCAATAAATTGTTCAGTATTGGTTTAATAGCTCACAAAAATAAATACCTTAAGCATTGTTTGTAAAAATGGAAAAAGTAAAAATTCGTGCCGTGATTAAGCTAAAATCAATTAATTAAAGTTCGAATTGCTTGCCCACCCACCATACTTGTCAGATTTAGCTCCAAACGACTTCTATCTCCTTCCTAACCTCAAAAAATAACTCGATAGAAAGAGATTTGTGAACGACAATGAAGTCAGCGACGCTGTAAATGGCTATTTTGAGGACCTTGATAAATCGACCTATCAATCTGGTGTAACCGCTTTAGAACATCGTTGGTAAAAGTGTATCACGCTAAATGGAGATTATGTTAAGAAATAAATGAAAATCAATCCAAAAAAATTTTGTTTTCTTATTCAGGTCCGGAACTTTTCATCTTACTCTTATTTTATTCGAAATACCTTTTATTCTAATATTTTTTTAAGAAGGAAAGAATTACAAATTACAGAGAAAAAGAGGGAAATTCTAATATGTACATATATATATATATATATATATAT